TTACCCGTAAGCTTACATAGACGTCACAAGCTGGCTGATCCGGCGTTCTATAAAGGACCTTTATAGTTACTGACAACAGGACAGTAGGAGAGAGAGAGAGAGAGTCGTATGTTCGTTGTGGTTAGATAATGGGCAAACAATCTCAGGTTGTGATGTAGTGGTTTATAAAACCTACAACTTGAAGACTTAGACACTTGTGCGACATTTGAAAATCTGTATTGAGGAAACTTTTTGCTTGCCAGTGGCTTCTTCAGTTGATGTGTTAACACATCGACTCCAGGCTGAGGATATTAGAACACTACAGGAAGATTTGAATAGACTGATGCAGTGGTCGGAGAAGTGGCAGATGCAGTTTAATATAGACAAATGCAAAGTTCTAAATGTTGGACAGGAAAATAACCATGCCACATATAAACTAAATAATGTAGATCTTAATATTACGGATTGCGAAAAAGATTTAGGAGTTCTGGTTAGCAGTAATCTGAAACCAAGACAACAGTGCATAAGTGTTCGCAATAAAGCTAACAAGAATCTTTGGCTTCATATCAAGAAACATAAATAATAGGAGTCCTCAAGTTGTTCTTCAACTCTATATATCCTTGGTTAGGCCTCATTTAGATTATGCTGCACAGTTTTGGTCACCGTATTACAGAATGGATATAAATGCTCTGGAAAACATACAAAGGAGGATGACAAAGTTGATCCCATGTATCATAAATCTTCCCTATGAGGATAGACTGGGGACCCTGAATCTGCACTCTCTAGAAAGGCGTAGAATTGGGGGGATATGATTGAGGTGTATAAATGGAAGACAGGAATAAGTAATGGGGATGTAAATAACGTGCTGAAAATATCTAGCCTATGACAGGACTCGTAGCATGGTTTTAAGTTGGAAAAATTCAGATTCAGGGAGGATATAGGAAAGCACTGGTTTGGTAATAGAGTTGTGGATGAGTGGAACAAACTCCCAAGTACAGTTATTGAGGCTAAAACGTTGTGTAGTTTTAAAAATAGGTTAGATAAATACATGAGTGGGTGTGAGTTGGACTGATTAGCTTGTGCTACTAGGTCAGTTTGCCGTGTTCCTTCCTTAAGTTAATGTGACCTGACCTGACTAGGTTGGGGCACTGGCTTAAGCCGGTAGGAGACTTGGACCTGCTTCGTATGGGCCAGTGGACCTGCTGCAGTGTTCCTTCTTTCTTATGTTCTTAAGTACTGGTTTTCGAAGAGAGTTGTGGATGCGTGGAATAATCTTCCGAGTAGGGTGATGAAGGCTGGGTGGCTTTTAAAAGAGATTGGACAAATATACGAGTGGGAGGGACTGGGTTTGATTGGTGTCGTGGGTAAGGGAGTAAATTCTTGGGTACCTTTGGGCAGTGGTGGTTTTGATAAGGACCTGCCATGTATGGGCCAGTAGGCCTTCTGCAGTATGCCTCCATTCTTATATTCTTATATTCTCACATTGAACAAATGTGACACTACCTATGACTGCTACACCTCTCCTGCCATACGGTTTATAAGCTGCTTCTCCGCTCATCTGCCGTATTCTACTCAAGATTGATGGACTGAACACATCGACTCAAGGTTGAGGGACTGATTACCTCATTCTCCTCCTGTTCTTCAAGTTTCTCCTACGTATGGACTGATGAAGCCACTGTGTGGCGAAACGTTTCCTCAATAAAGATATCCAAGAGTTGCACATGTGTCTAATTTATCAACGTTGGGTAGGTTGTATATGAGACGCCTGGAGGCACCTTTCGCGCCTCTCAGTCATAAACGTTAAATCTAACTTTAGTGAGAGTGACTAATTAATGGACCAAATCGGACCGAAACGTCATTTCATTCTCCTGTGTGCGGGATATCAGTATTCTCCCAGTCACGGTATTGTGGCTTATTGTTGTTAATACTCTCCAATGTATTTAAGTACAGGTGAAGTTGGTGTTAAATTCCCTCCAGTAACTTTACAAACAATGTAATATTCTTAATTTAGGGCGATGTGGAGTTAAGTTGGTCTTGCAAACCATACCACGGGTGGGGTTAGAACCCGCGGATCGCGGGTTCTAACCCCACCCGTGGTATGGTTTGTTTGCAGTCGTGTCATTACGATTTCGTGAGTCAAGTTGGTCCTGAATAAACATTTCCTTCCTGTACCTTTACAATAACAAATAACCTTCTCTTAATCTTAGGTTAGGTGGAGTTAGGTTGTGTTACTAGGTGAGTTTGGGTTAACCTGGGATGAGTTAGGTTAGATTGGTTTATCTTAGATTGAATAAACCTTTAAAACAATGAAAAACAGGTACATTGAATGAACGGCTGGGCATAACCAGGATATGTTTAAATATGTACTAATGTCACTGTTGGTGTTACAGTGCTGCTATAGCAGTGTCACTGTTGGTGTTACAGTGCTGCTACAGCAGTGTCACTGTTGGTGTTACAGTGCTACAGCAGTGTCACTGTTGGTGTTACAGTGCTGCTACAGCAGTGTCACTGTCGGTGTTACAGTGCTGCTACAGCAGTGTCACTGGTGATGTTAGTGCTACAGCAGTATCACTGTTGATGTTACAGTGCTGCTACAGCAGTGTCACTGTTGATGTTACAGTGCTGCTATAGCAGTGTCACTGTTGGTTTTACAGTGCTGCTACAGCAGTGTTACTGTTGGTGTTACAGTGCTGCTACAGCAGTGTCACTGTTGGTGTTAGTGCTACAGCAGTGTCACTGTTGATGTTAGTGCTGCTACAGCAGTGTCACTGTTGGTGTTACAGTGCTGCTACAGCAGTGTCACTGGTGGTGTTACAGTGCTGCTACAGCAGTGTCACTGTTGGTGTTAGTGCTACAGCAGTGTCACTGTTGATGTTAGTGCTGCTACAGCAGTGTCACTGGTGGTGTTACAGTGCTGCTACAGCAGTGTCACTGGTGGTGTTAGTGCTACAGCAGTGTCACTGTTGATGTTAGTGCTTCTACAGCAGTGTCACTGTTGGTGTTACAGTGCTGCTGCAGCAGTGTCACTGTTGGTGTTAGTGCTACAGCAGTGTCACTGTTGATGTTAGTGTGCTGCTACAGCAGTGTCACTGTTGGTGTACAGTGCTGCTACAGCAGTGTCACTGTTGGTGTTAGTGCTACAGCAGTGTCACTGTTGATGTTAGTGCTGCTATAGCAGTGTCACTGGTGGTGTTACAGTGCTGCTACAGCAGTGTCACTGGTGGTGTTAGTGCTACAGCAGTGTCACTGTTGATGTTAGTGCTGCTACAGCAGTGTCACTGGTGGTGTTACAGTGCTGCTACAGCAGTGTCACTGTTGGTGTTACAGTGCTGCTACAGCAGTGTCACTGTTGGTGTTACAGTGCTGCTGTGATGTACAAAGCTCACCACAGTTAGTGTCCGCTCTATTCAAGGGCTTCTTTACGTCTCTCTCCTTTACTGGACGATGTTTAAGTTAATACTGTGAGGTGGTGGTAAGTGTACAAGAAGTACATAATGACTGCACAGTACTATACTGTACAGTACTTTCACATATGTACTGGAGGCTGGTGTGTCAACACTGCTGGAGAAGATTTTTCACTTGAGGTGTGTGTATGTGTGTGTGTGTGTTCGTGTGTTTGTGTGTACTCGCCTAATTCACCTACTTGATGTTGCAGGAGTTAAGTCACAGCTTCTGGCCCCGCCTTCTAGCAGGTGCCTACTAGGTCCACTCTCTCCCTGCTCCCAGAGTTTTATGCTCACTCACCTAATTCACCTATAGGCAGGAGTTGAATCTCAGCTCCTGTTCCCGCCTCTGTTGGCCTCTGCTGGGCTCGCTCTCTACTAGCTTTGTGAACCCTGTCATACATATTCTTAAAGCTATGTATAGATTCTGCTTCTACCACTTGGCTGTCTAGGTCGTTCTACTTGTGACCACTAAGGCTAAAGAAGTATTTCCTAACATCCCTGCGACTCATCTGTGCTGTTAACTTCCAGCTGTGCCCTTGTGTACCTGAGACCCGCCTCTTAAACAAACTCGCCCTGTCCACTTTGTCAGTTTCTCTCAGTTAAGTTTAGCTCCTCGAGCTTCTCCTCACAGGAACTAGTTGCGTTGCAAACCTTTGCACATTCTTCAGCTTTGCATGCTTCATCAGGTGTGGGTTGTTACCGGCGCTACATACTCCAAGATGCGTCCTACATAGTATCATGAAAACCTCCGTGTTCAGGTTCCTGAAAAGTTTTCTAAAATTTGCCAGTCTCGCGTTTGTTGCAGCTGTTATTGGGTTGATGTGTATCTCAGGTGACATACTTAGAACTATGCTCACCCTGAGGTCCTCTTCCAGGGAGGTTTGTAGCCTTAGTCCCCCGAGTCTGTACACTATTCCCGGTCGTCTTTGTCCCTCTCCGAGTGTCATAACTTTGCATATAGTGGAATCAAATTCCAATAGTTATTTGTCAAAATAATTCTGCTGCTTGTCCAAATCCATATATAGTCTTTCCTGGTCTCCTCCTATTTGTATTCTTCTCATTATTTTTACATCATCTGCGGATTCTGACTCTGTTTCCTCTGTCGTGTCGTTTACATACACAAAAAACAGTACTGGTCCAAGTACTGACCATTGTGGAACTCCACTCGTCACACTCGTGTGTGTATGTCTATATATGTATGTATGGTTGTAGGGATCGAGTTACAGCTCCTGGCCTCGTTTCTTAGCTGGTCCCTACTAGGTCCACTCTGTTCCAAGAGCTTTATCGTGTTAGTTACCACTTTGTCCTAGGCGCATGTCGATTAGACACTAGGCCTGTTGTGTATATATATATATATATATATATATATATATATATATATATATATATATATATATATATATATATATGTGTGTGTGTGTGTGTGTGTGTGTGTGTGTGTGTGTGTGTGTGTGTGTGTGTGTGTGTGTGTGTGTGTGTGTGTGTGTGTGTGTGTGTGTATGTGTGTATATGTGTGTGCTGTGTGAGCGTGGTGGTGGTGGGTTGGGGCGGGAGAGGCAGCAGCAGTGCTCGACCTGTTGATCGTGTGGGTGGTATGGTGCAGGCGGCGCGGCAGGTGCTTCCCTCAGTGTATGTGTGTGTGTTGTGTGTGTGTGTGGGTGTGTGTGTGTGTGTGTGTGTGTGTGTGTGTGTGTTTGTGGTGTTGTGTGTGTGTTGTGTGTGTGTGTAGTGTGTATGTGTGTATATGTGTGTGCTGTGTGAGCGTGTGGTGGTGGGGTTTGGGCGGGAGAGGCACAGCATGCTCGACGTTGATCGTGTGTGGTATGGTGCAGTCGGCGCGGCAGGTCTCCTCATGATGTGTGTGAGTGTGGTGTGTGTGTGTGTGTGTGTGTGTGGTGTGTGGGATATCGCTGGTTCTGGTTTGGGTTGCTGGCAGTATTACCGCAGCCGTGTAACGCCAGTGTGCTGCTCAGGCCAAATCCTCATGTTCCAACACTACACTAAGTTTATGCTTCAAACACATGATTCTTGGCACAGCCTTCCAGATATAGTAATGAAAACGATGCTCGCCTGCAGTGTGTTAGACCAGGAACTCTAGCACTTGGCTTGTGGTTCCTATCAGGAATTTTGCTTATGGTAGTGATGGAATTTGAGTTGTCAGTGCTGTCATAATAAAGGAAAATAAGTGGAAATAAGATGAAGCAAATTATAAGAGAAAGAAAATCAGCTGGTTTGTGAAACGTTTGTAAAGTGTTCTTCACTTTACAGGTGTTTTAAGTGTTAGTGGTGTTGCAGGCAGCTCTTCTGACCTGCCATACTCGCCATCCAAGACCCATGTTGCGAGATAAATAAGTGTTGGGTCTAGTTTAAAGAGCGTCAAGTGAAAAATTTCAGTACCGAATCAACACGTTATATAATTCATCCTGGGTCTTTTGACATAAAATTTTAGGAAAACAGAAACAGCTTACCTACCATTTTTTTTTTGTATTACCAAAATTAGATACATCACATTGTGTGGCTACACTAATCAATATACCATTTCACAAAGTTTGAACAAGGGCTATCTTTACCTACTTGAAAACCATAACCACACTGACTTTTTTTTGGGTCATCCTAGGTAATTTATACTATATATGATAGTTGTACTTATGTACCTGTGCCTAAATAAACTGACTTACACGGTATTTATGATCGAGAAATACAAAAAGAGTCGTGGAAAATAATGTACAGCTGTTCTTTTATAGCCGTTGAGTGGATGGTCCAGGCAGCCTCCGGCGCCTCTCTCCACATTCTCCAGCATCTAACACACACATCTTGGCTGGGCCAACTCCCGCACTTTCGACACAGTGATCATATTCTCGAGCCTTCCACCCAACTTGCAAAGTTTGAGAGATAATGAGATGCTGTGTCCTCAGCGACCCACGTCAGGGGAAGGTGTTGTTCTGGCAACGTGATCATCAGTAGGCCAGGCAGCAACAATAATAGCTCTGCCAGCAGCTTCAGTAACAGTAGTAGCAAGTGGAGCAGCTGCTACAACACCTGCAGCAGCAGTAGCATCTGCATCAGTGGTGATAAACAATTAGCAGCTGCAGCTGCTGCAGAGGATCAGCAGTTGCAGTAGCGGTCATAGGAAAGAAAGCCAAAGTAGCAATCATATCTGCAATAGCAGCAGTGATTACAGCAATCAGCAGCAGCAGAAGCTGCAGCAGCTGATGCTGCTTCTCTAATAATAAAGATTATCAACAGTGACGAATGTATGAACTCTGAGGGTGAGGCAACGAGGTAATAATCTTGGGAGACACAATAAACAATCTTAAGTGGACGTAAATCGAAATTAAGACAAAAATTTCCCTTTGAGAAAAATTAAATGTTCACTGGAAAAATATGAATCAGTAAAGTCATTAGTTTTCAGATAATGGTATCAGTTAGATACCAGGGACGACAACCCAGTTTAAATAAAGTGACAACGTATTTTTTGTGCTCATAACAGATATCATCTTCCAGTAATTAATTTGAATCAAACTCGACACTTTAAAATGTACTTGGGAAAGCAAGCTGTGTGTTTGCACTCTGTGTTCGTGTACAGTAATTACTTACACGTACACAGGGTGTATGTGCAAGTTTATTTAGGTACAATCGACATATTTTTTAGATGATCGTAGTTGTCATATGTAACACCGTATGTGTGTATAAGTAACCTGGGATAATTCAAGAACAAAGGTAAATACTGTGTACAGTATATATATGTACTCATTTGCGTTCACGAGTACACATACACACAGTGTTGTACTCTTCACGCGTGAGCACCCGGTGTTAGTGTTCATGTGGTTTTTCTGTGAATGATGAACTTGAAAGGGGTTGGTGTGATCAGCAGAGCGAGAGGGAAGGTCTTCCCGGCGCTGTACCTCTCACTGCAACATTCCACAAGGCGGTGGGGAGTAACGGTGTGAGGAATGGGGAGGGAGGGGGAGGTATAATGCTTTGGAAAGGGGTAACGTGAAGTAGGGGAATGAAGTAGGAATAGAGAGGGTGTAGCTGAGAGAGAAAGCAGGGAATAACAACAATACGAGAATTACAGCACCCAAGTATTGTGATACACTAGCACCTAGGAGGAGAACACCCAAGTATTGTGATACACTAGCACATAAGAGGAGAATACCCAAGCATTGTGATACACTAGCACCTAGGAGGAGAACACCCAAGTATTGTGATGCACTAGCACCTAAGGGGAGAACACCCAAGTATTGTGATACACTAGCACCTAGGAGGAGAATACCCAAGTATTGTGATACACTAGCACCTAAGAGGAGAATACCCAAGTATTGTGATACACTAGCACCTAGGAGGAGAGCACCCAAGTATTGTGATACACTAGCACCTAGGAGGATAAACCTGGGGTTATGATGTAACGGGATAAAGACACACATGCATGTTGACCAGCCACATGATGCTGTGTGTTCTGTGTGTACTGACTGACTGACCTGACTATGTACTGACTCACTGACTTGACTGTGTACTGACTCACTGACTTGACTGTGTACTGACTCGCTGACTTGACTGTGTACTGACTCCCTGACTTGACTGTGTACTGACTCACTGACTTGACTGTGTACTGACTCGCTGACTTGACTGTGTACTGACTCACTGACTTGACTGTGTACTGACTCACTGACTTGACTGTGTACTGACTCACTGACTTGACTGTGTACTGATCACTGACTTGACTGTGTACTGACTCACTGACTTGACTGTGTACTGACTCACTGACTTGACTGTGTACTGATCACTGACTTGACTGTGTACTGACTCACTGACTTGACTGTGTACTGACTCACTGACTTGACTGTGTACTGACTCACTGACTTGACTGTGTACTGACTCACTGACTTGACTGTGTACTGACTCACTGACTTGACTGTACTGACTCTGACTTGGCTGTGTACTGACTCGCTGACTTGACTGTGTACTGACTCACTGACTTGACTGTGTACTGACTCACTGACTTGACTGTGTACTGACTCACTGACTTGACTGTGTACTGACTCACTGACTTGACTGTGTACTGACTCACTGACTTGACTGTACTGACTCTGACTTGGCTGTGTACTGACTCGCTGACTTGACTGTGTACTGACTCACTGACTTGACTGTGTACTGACTCACTGACTTGACTGTGTACTGACTCACTGACTTGACTGTGTACTGACTCACTGACTTGACTGGCAACTGTTGATAACAAGCTGTTACATCAACCAACCAGCAAGTAAATAGTGGAGGAAGTAGGTAGGTATAGAGAGAGAGAGAGTGTCGGAGGAAGGGAGATAGATGCTAAAGAGAGGGAGAGGGTAAGCATATTTAAGGAGAGCAGATCTAAAGAGAAAATTAAGAGGATGGGATACGAAGGAAGGAAACAAAGATGGCAGATAGGGACGGAGGACTCAATGATATTACAACGTTTCACTCTCAGGATCGAAATGTCCTGATGTCTGCAAATCTAGTGTCGTTTTCCCAGCGCCTTATCGGGATTACCTGGGGATTTGAGTGGGATTCTTCCCCTCGATGAGGGAGTTAAACCTAATGGCCTCCCTTTATCTCCGGCCTGGTATAGTCCCTACATATTCAGCGCTTCCCCATCAGCACTGAAATATAACTGAAGTGTATAAATGGAAGACAGGAACGAACATAGTGCTGTGAATATTGTGGAACCTTTATAACCAAGATAAAACTCTTTAAGAGTGGTTCAGAACTCTCTACAACGACCCAGAACTCTCTACAACGACCCGGAAAACTCTACAGTGGCCCAGAACTCTCTATATATAGTGGGTCAGTTTAAACAGATTCAAAAAGGACATCAGAAAGTACTGGCTTGCTAATGGGGTTGGAGATGCTGTACCAAACTGATCCACGTTATAGTGACTAGTTAGTTACGAGAAGGACCATGTAGGGTAGGGCAGGACACATGACCTGGTTGCTACATCCTGGTGACACAGTTTAGAGGTGACGCTTCACGAAGCAAGAGTCACCGGTACAGCTCTTTATGACCCCTGCCCGGGCCCCTGGTGGTCCAGTAAGGTGGTCACCCAGAGGCATGGCCTGTGTCACCCAGATAGATGGGCTGTGTCGCCTATTAAGGTGGGCTGTGTCGCCCAGTATAGTGGACTGTGTCACAGTTAGGTAGGCTGTGTCACCAAGCAAGGCGGGATCTGTCATCCAGTTAGATGGGTTGTCACCCAGTTAGGTGGGCTGTGTCACCTAGTTATGTGGGCTGTCACCCAATAGGGTGAGCAATGCAATATTGAATGAATAGGGCGAGATATGTTGGGGAGGGTGTGTGGGTTGTGTTGAGGAGGGTGTGTGGGTTGTGTTGAGGAGGGTGTGTGGGTTGTGTTGGGGAGGGTGTGTGGGTTGTGTTGGGGAGGGTGTGTGGGTTGTGTTGGGAGGGTGTGGGGTTTGTGTTGGAGAGGGCGTGTGGGTTGTATTGGAGAGGGTGTGGGGTTTTTGTTGGGGAAGGTGTGGTGGTTGTGTTGGGTAGGGTGTGTTGGGGTGTTGAGTGTTATATATATATATATATATATATATATATATATATATATAATATATATATATAAAATATAT